AAAAAAAAAAAAAAAAAAACATTTCTAAAGCCATTTCTTTTTATAGGGGAATAGACTTGAAGGTGAAGACCTGTTTCAAATATTCTCTCCATTTCCTAAACCAGATTTAGCTCCTATGCTCCACCAATGTGAAATAAATTTCCAGATAACTGCAAAGACACTGAAGCCCTGAAATACTGTCTTCTTTTAAATCCATATTAAAATCTAATATATTTATAAATGGCTTTGACTTGTCCATTTTAACTCCCAACAGAATTATCATTCATTTCATTCTCTTTACCTGCCTATATTCTATGTCTGTATTTGTTTTCTAATGATTTATACAACACACTTCAATTTGAATTTAGTTTGAATGTAGGAAAATGTGCTAAAGAAAGTAAAAAAAAAAAAATCCACTGGACTTTTTTGGGATGATTATGACCTGGATGACTGAGAATCATCACCAGCATATGTGCTATAGAAATAAACTGTCCTTGCCTTACCAGAAGTACCAATGAGTGTTTATGGTACTATAAAGGTTGCATACCTAGAGAAGCTTTGCTGGTATAAACATTCATCTTGTCCTTCAAGCTTTGGAGAGCATCTATCAAAATTAAGAGCAATCCCTGATGCTCTATTGTTTCCTGAAAAAAAAATGTGAAAAAGGAGATTAAAATCGACCAGATTTTTAGAAGAATATAATCTAATGAGATGTAGAATATCATAATTCTATGAATAGATTAGTAATAACGACAGATAATCAGATAAAATCGGACTTAAAGTTCATCATTTTTGATTTAACAGTTTTAAACTCACATGCCAGTCGAGCAGAAGAACCTGAACGGACTCCTGGGATGTGTAAGGAGCTTTCCAGGTCTGGACCTTCGCCCTGACTTCTCTCAGGAGATCCAGCACCGTGTGGTAATTTTCCTCATATTCTAGTTTTATGATTTCATATTTTGCAGAAACTCGAATGCCAGTCACACTGGTTTTTAACAAGATAAATGTTACAAATGAATAAAAAGTATTTTACAAAACTGTCTAATGTGACTACGATAATTATTTCACAAACCGGTTCTTTATGTCTCCAAGCTTTTCTTGAGGCACTGCCATATTTCCGGAATCATCCACATTATGATAAGTATCAGTGAGCTTCACATAATGATTCATCTCCTTGATTAATGTCTGCAAAAAATAAGTTTGAAAAAAAATAAGCTGACAGGTTTAATATATATTAGGGTATTTGTTATTGTTCTTTAACAGAAGACTACCTTTAGTTGGTCTTGCTTTGCTCTTGCCTGTTTGGCAGCTTCTGCATGATCTTTCGCTGTCCTTCCCTCTTCTGTTAGCGCAGCCTCTCCTCTCTGCAGCCACATGGCGACCGAGTCCAGAGGAGGAGGGAGACTCTGCTCCACATCGGCTTCACACCTTCGGAGCTGAAGAAGGACAGATGCATTTGGGGATTAAAACCTTCTGAACACAAGAAGAGAAAGTTCCCTGTGATATTAACATCAAGCATCCATGTAGTCTCCCATGAACGATCAAAACAGCAAATAAGAATATAAGAAAGAATCAGAACTTTTTTGTTATTTAAAGAATGAAACTACAGCTCCAAGGCAAAATCAAATCTCCTTTTTTATTTGGTGGAAATGTTTCAGAACTTTCTCACAATAACTGAGAAGCTGCTTCATTCTGGTGATAATCTACATACTATCCTAAAATATTAATTAACTGCTTATGAATTTGGTCAAATTTAATGCAATACGATAAGAAATAGAAAAATGAAACACAAACCTTTAATTCAAGGATATTTATACCAACCAGTTTTTGCAAGAATTTAGTTGTGACACAGTTGCTGGTTCTGTCTAAACTATTTAACTTCCTTTGGTCAATAGAACAGCACTTTCCTCATAACAATTCATTTCTGTATCTCATTTTATGTGTTTAATAATTCTAGGAAATTATTCTGCATATAAAAAAAATAAAGACCCATCCCCTTTTTAGTTGGTTGAGCTCACCAGATGGTAGTTTAAACAGAACAAGATGCCATGATCTCTTTCAAAGTCCCAGATCTTTCTAGAGAGAAACAGACCCTTTTTTTCACAGTTTCTTATCTAAAAAAAAGCTCAACATTAGTCCTATTTGTTTAAATCATACAGCAACACTTAAAATAAAATTTGTTTGCTTTTTCTACTATGCTCCAACTTTATAATGCATAGGAGTTTGCTGCTTGTTGTTGGCTTTTGGGTTGTTATTATTTTATTATTATTTATTTTTACTTCACTTCATGACTTAACTTAATTTATTGCTTTAATTTTGTTTGTTATATTTTACATTCCTTTTTCTTTTTAAGCTATGAGTGTATAAAACACTTTAAAAAAAACTACCGTAAATTGCATTTTTAAAGTACTATAGATATAATGTTGTTGATTCAGGATTAATGCATTTGTAGGCTTATTTCACACCTTTGCAACATGGGTGCAAATGAATGCTTTTATGTTTTTGCCTGTGAAGGAAAAATGTATTTTAATATCTGCTTGCTGGTGGTTCCATGTGCACAAACATGGAAAAATTTAACTCACAAAGTCAGCTAGGAGGGGTTTAAACGTTTAGTGTGACTTTTATAAGCAAAGCAGATTTCCTTACTTCTTGCTCCAGTCGCTCCCATGCTGTCCTCAGGGCTTTCTGTTCTTGGTCTAGTTCTGGGCATCGTCGTGTGGCTGCAAGGAGACGCATAACCGATCTTCTCTGCTCAGCAAAGGAAGCAGTAAGGCTTTCATATACCTAAAACAAAACAAGTAACTACTTTTATCCAACAACATATAAGTGCATTGTGTAGGCTATCGTGCCTTGAATTACCTGATATTTTTCGGCATAAGTTGATCCCTCTGTGGCTGTCCATGTTTCTGAAATCTCCTTATAGGCCTCCTGCAGCCAACAAGTCACATCCTGTGTCTGCTCACTAGGTGACACCTTTGTAAAGATGTTAGATGTAAGCATTGCATAGTTAACTGAGGCAAATTACAGCTTTACAGTTGCACAATCATAAAACCAGCTTTATTTGAAGGTTTTTCTTTGACTAATAATAAGCTTGACCAAACTGTGCTTCAGTTTGCTTTTAGATTAGAACAAATTACGCGCAATTAACAGGCAAAAAAGCGGAAAGAAGATAGCAGAGGAGCATGTACCTGGTGTAAAGGTGAGAGAGCAACTGCTGGAGCGAAGTGAGCATGCAAGCTCTCAGGGGAGAAAATTGGAGTTTGCTCTGAAGGAAACAGCTAAGCCACCATCAGTTCAGAGATGGAAAGATGGAGCCAAAAGGAAGAGAAGATGAGTTCAAAAGCTGCAGTTTCAGGTAGAAGGTTTGGAGGTTCAAAGTGGGGAAAAAGACTTGTAGATTTCATAGTTTTGGTCAGCTGGCATACTAAACATTTTATCTGTATAATCCAAAAACTTGTAAAAAAAACTTAAAGTGGATGCATCTTTTAAGAAAATTAGTTGGGAAAAATTACAAAATAGGGTTAAAAGCCACTTAAAAAAGCCAATTAAAGAAGAAAGAAGAAAACTAAACAAATGTTAAATGAATTTACAATCTTCCTTCTAACCTGCAGGTGGTCTTCAGGCGACGGCATGTCATTGGAGTACTGCAGAAACTGGGCAACATAAGTCATAATGGACTTTTCATCAGGATCCTTAACATCAACATCTAAAGAGAAAGGAGGAAGGTTGATTTCCATCAGAGCAATTATGTTCTGCATTTGCTTTATTTTTGAAATGCAAAGGAAATTAAGTAAGGATATAAAAAAAAATAATAATAATTGAAAGTCGAAATGCTTCCGCGGCACCTTGGGGGTCCAGGAGGCGAGGAATGTGGAGTTCCCTTTCAGCCAGATGAAAGGCTTCTTCCAAGTTCTCCAGACTGCTTCTGGTCTGGGTCTTTGATAGATCCACCAGTTCTGGTCTGAGTGAGCACAGGATGGCCAGAAAGACCTCCCCACTTCTCCAGCTGGACTTAAAGTCTTTCACGTTGACGGTGCAATTAACCCTACACAGAATCAGAGTGATAGTTTTTATCTTATCCTTTACTGACATGTTAAAGTTTAACAGATAGAAATAAAACTGATTAAATTTAAGCCATGGGAGCATAAGCTTGGCTGGACAACAAAAACAATAAAATAACAATGAAATCATTGACATATTCAGTCCCCTGCTGAGAAATTATAGTAAACTAGATAGGTTGAAGAATGTAGTCTAAAGTTTGGCATATATTTGGAGCATGCAATAAAAAAAGAAATAATTATATCAAACATACTTTTTGCATTGGTCCCTGACCCACATGAGCAGGGCCTTTTTGGCGGAAACGCGGAACCGTCGGTGAAGAGGTGATACCCGACCAGAAGGGACTGGACTGGCTGGGATGGGGCTTCCAGACCAGGAGTCTAAGCTCGCTACAGAGTCGAGGGAGGAATGGCGGGAGCTAAAGGACAGAGCACTGGCCAGCTCCTCAATCTAAAACAGTTACAAAAAAAACTTTAAACCCAGTTGACACAGATGCCAATGCTCAGCTTTGTAAAAAAAAATCCACATGAAACAACCATTTCATTTAATCTGGAATTATGCTCACATGACAGCGGAGAATGATGGTCCACACGAGGCCAAGAATGATGGATGGACGTCCGTCTATGATGTCTGGAATATTTATGTTCACCAGCTTGATCTACACACATAACAATTCCACTCTTAATGTGCGCTTTGGGGTCATAAAACTAACCTTTTAGTTTTTTTGTTTGTTTTTTTTATCTTAAAAATACAGTAGGAAAGACATGTGAAGAGACATAATGTGATCAACGTTTCCTGTTTAAGTGATGAATGTTTTAATTTTTGTTTTTTTAAGAAAGTGAGCTAACTAAAGGCGAAAAACCAAACTTACAGATTTTCTCTTGAGAAAGTTTAGTGCTGTCTCAATGTTGGCCCTCTGCTGGAAAACTCCTCGACCTCTCTGTCTTTTCTAGGGGGAAGTTTAGCAGTTTAAGACATTTTTTCTTTATTTTTTTTTTCTTTCGATGAACACATTTTAGTTCTGTCCTCACCATTGACTGACCGCTCATCACTTCCAACAGATCCAGCAGCCGGGAACCATCTTTGAGGTCCAAAAACAGGTCTGACACATATGAAGGTGGACATCTCTGAAACCGAAAGAAATCTGAATTCATTTAAAATATAACAAACAGATCAGGAGAAGTGGAGGGTGTATTTGAACGCATTTTACATTTACTACAGGATCTGTCAGTTGTAGATGCACCATAGTAAATTAAAAAAAAAATGATTATACACCAAAAATATGTTAGTTTTTGTACAAACAGAACCTTGCAAAAGTATTCACACCCCACAAGTCAATATTTCTGGTCTTGTATAAAACATACAAGTAGAAAGATGTTGAATTATTAAAATTTTTTACATTCAAAAGGTGCAGAATCCATATTTATTAAGCCCATTTCATACCACACCCCTACATACATTCCTAAATCCATCATCTCTTCTTTCCATTTCGTGCTTAATATATATTGGGTCACGTGGGGGGAGTTGGATTTTGGTGCTTAGTTATACACTATAATGCACTGTGGGGTCAGGTCAGGTCACTAACCTCTACTTAACAAAGTCCAGCAGTCTCCTAACTAGTAAACACAGCCACATTGGTGTAGATCTTGGTATAATTCCAGCTGTTAGCTGGAGGTTTCCAAGGGTTGACAGCAACCATTAGAGAACAAACAGTCTCATTAAGACCAAGGAACCCATTAGACAAGTTAACGGCACGGTTCCAGATTACTTTAAAGCTGGGTTTGGTGATTAAACTAAGTTTCAAACTTGGGACATTTCAGAGAGCTTAATTCAATCCATGAAAATAGACAGCTGATGGCACAACTGCACACCTAACAAGAGGCAATGCTTTACAACCTAAATGACTGACAGCTAAACTAAAGGAAAAGTAAAGATGTACATGGTAATTTTGGAGGAGCTGCGGTGATGTACTGCTCAGTTGCAGGACAACTGTTGGCTTTTCATTCCTCAGATCTGGCCTTTCTGGAGGAAAATAATTTTATTAATGAGAGGCAGTCACAGATAATCTAGCATAAAGTTTGTCACAAGCCATGTGAGAGCATAAAAAGTATGTGGAAGGAGGAACTCAGATTTAATAGGCCAAAGTACAACTTTCTGAACTGCATATAGAACACTATTAATGGGAAAAAGATTATACCTTTGTAGCATCATTCATACAAAAGATAATCTAAAGTGTTAAAAGAAATCAAATGAAAAAATAACAACATCATAGCACTTTGTATGACACTAAACATGTCTGGCGATTGTGAAACATAGTGATGATAGCAGCATAGTAAGAGAATCATTTTCATTGATAAGGGCTGCAATTGAAGCTGGAAGAGGCGGCAAGACTTAAATAAGGTGCAAAGGTTCACTTTCCCACTGGACAGTTACAACAAACATGTAGTATCTGTCTGTTCTTTATGCATATTCATTATGTATATCCTATTCTTACAAAGCAGGTGGAGCCAAAACACAAACAACATGCAGCAAACAGTGGTTCTACAAAGCTTTAAAGCACATAATACATTGCAGTTTTTAGTTGTAATATGAAAAGTTATCTAATGTGACCTGATATGATTTTTTATTGTGTCACATGCTAGAAGAGGAAAGCCAATGAAAACAGGATCTTTAATCAGAAGAGCACCAAGAAAACATTAAAAGAATAACTACTGATAATGTCACAGGTCTTTCAGTCTTTTGCAAATGATCAAGACATTAAATACTACACTGCAGACTGAAAGAGATATTTTCCAGTTCCTGAATTTCACAACAGGTCGCAGGTTGTGGATTCAGTCAATGCTAAACAAAGTTAAGAAGAGGCTGGGTTCAGATTACATGATGTTCTGCTCCACTGAGGAACTATTTATACTTCAGTTCCATGTCAGCAGAGCAGAGTCTCTGTCCAAAGGGGGCTGGCTAGAGCTGCTTCACTGCTCTCTGACCAGTGAGTCGGCTTCTTTGGCTCCGCACAAAGATTTGTACGATATATGACTCAGCAGCAGCATGGTGACGCCATTTTTCTCAGAGATTGTTAACAAAGTGTGTGATGTTTCATTTTATTTGAAAACAGGTTGTCTGAAACATATGAATTAACCAGATAAACAGAAGTGAGCTGCATTTTATTAAAAAGAAGAAAGTTGAAAAGACCTTATTTTCATCTTACACTTAAGAACAAAGTGTAATACAAGCTCTGCAGACTTGATTATCTGGAGCAACCTTTTTATAAAGCATTACTGCTCCACCTACTATTACTGAGAAGCCTAGGGGCTTTCTTGCTGTGACACAGAAAGGTAATCATGACTTTCCAACACACCTTGGCAAGTTGAGCATTTATCCAGTTGGTAAATGTCCTTTTCTGGATCTGTTCATGCTCCACTGTTAAAGAAAAAAAAAGAAAAAACACATAGTTAATTGTTTCTGGCATTCTTATGATGTAAAAAAAAAACTCTATTGTGGAAGATTTGATGGAAGAATTTAAGCTGAGTAAAGAATAAATTCATTTGTAGTGATATTCCAGATTTGTAAATCAACAACTGAACCAAAAGTGAAAGTCCTCAACCAAACATCCTAGTTTATGCCTCCCTGTAGGTTTGTGAATAAACTCAACATTTGTGACAAAATGAAAAGCGCTTCTACAGGAACGAGCACACCGATCACTCACCCTCTTCAGAGAACAGAAACTCTCTGAACTCCATGTTTAGAATCTTAAGTTACTTTTGCCCATGCATGATAACCATAAAAGGCATCCATTTAAAACTGAGTAAAATGTGTCTTCTCCCCCCATGGAGCAGCTGTAGAGCGTTTGCCTTCTTCATTAGGCTAAAGTAAATGTAAGAACCAGGATCTGCCTGCTATACGGGATCGCCTCCAAGACAGAGAGAGACATGGATACGGAGATAAACACACACTCATACACACCGTAACTAAGCACAGTCCTGGATAGAAAGAAACCTCAGGCCAACACACACAAACACAGCCGACACTCATCATCACATGTTTGAGGACTACAACTTTACACTTGTCAAAAACAAATCAACATTCTTTCCATAAATATATTTGGTTATATTAAAAATGGCCATAAATCTGATTGTGAGCTTTGCTGTTTGTTTAAGAGCCTGCCACGGCAGATACCTCTAAACGGTGTAATTGCTTAACTCCACCCTGTTCATAACACATAAAGACTAAACGTTAAATAGGGCGGTACTTGTGTAAAAACCTTGTTTTCAGTGTAAAGAATGTGTTTTGTGGTGGTAAATTTATAAGAAAGAGCAACTACAGGCACATACAGGCAAACAAATACTTATGGATCCGTCATCTGTTCTATTGTATTTCTACAATAAGTCATTTTCTAAATAATATTGTGTTTAAAACTGTTTTTTTAATTGTTTCATAAAATCCACTCTTCAAAGCGGAGAGTTTTTTTCTGTTAGAAATAGAGAAGGTGGGATTCAAGGATGAAGTGAAACGATTATGGTCTTTTTTCCACAGCCAATCTAATGTTGAGATACTTTTTTCATTGTTCGACAGATGTTATTCTGGGCCTATAACTGCAACTCAACTGAAAGTTCATGTTTCAGAATTCTGAAAATGAAATGTCGATTTCCAAACATTCAAAAATAAGCTTTACATTGTATTAAGCTTTTCCTATTTATGACATTAATCAATCTCTTTTATTAGCTTTTTTGCATCTTCTAATCAATAGTAACAGAATCGTGATAAATTATTTTCTATTACACTTTTCTCAAAGTATTTTTGCTCATCATACAGTCTAATCCCAGACAAAATAACCTTAGTAAATGCAAAAATCTGTCATCATTCCTTAAGGGGCTAAAAGTTATCCAAACCAACTTGCCCTATGGGAAAAAGAAAGCTCCCTTAAGCTAATAACTCTTAGTGTCACGCTTGGAAACGGCAAGAAAAACAAGTCACAACAAACAGCCTTTTTAAAGTTATGTCACAGGAGGTTTTAAGCCAGACTTTGACTAGGCCAGTAAAATAATATAGATTTTCTTTTTAAACATTTGAATGTACAAAGTCATCTATATAATAAAAAGGCAAGGCATCCCTTATCATCATACAACTACCACCATGTTTGACTGTAATTTTATTTTGTATTAAATGCTGAGTTCATTTTATACCAGATTATAACATATGCCAAAAACAACAACAACAAAAAGAGTTTGTTAAAACCTTACAGAAAAGCTTTACTGCTGATTTTTTTAACAGCAGTAGTTTCATCTCCTCTAGGCTTAATGATGACTCTGTGACCATTTTCAGTATAAATTACTTTTGTGTTTTTTTTGAAGATCTGGCCTGATCTGGTGCTCTTTTTGACCTCTAAGTCTACTTCATATCAGAGAGGTTTTATTTAAACATTTGAATAACTCTAACGATAGGACTGTTATACCGTTTGGGCAAAAATAACCAAATAAATGTGATCCATAACAGTTAATTTATAAACCATATTCTCATAAAGGATTGGTTTAAATACCCTTGTTTTTCTTTAATAAATATGATCCCACAAGACAACTGCATGTTCTATTTCCTGGGTTTTTATTTTTTAACATTATTATTAAATATAAAGAAATGTCCAATGAAGGGACCTTTCTAAAAACTAGTCCTTTTCTGTGGGTTTTTATTTTTTAACAAAAAGCTAAATTTATCATCTATCTATTTAGGAGTACAAATGTGCCTGTGAATCTGTTTTTCATAATAATCTTACTTCTATTTGCCGTTTGAATTGACCAGCTATTATTTCTGTTAATGTGTCATGAAACAGCTCCTGCTCCTAAGGACTATTAATGAAATAATCAAAGTTAAGTGAAAAAATAAATTCTGTCTTCAAGAGGTAAGTAATTTTTATAATTTGTAAAATGATACTGTATTTTCAGGAATCATAAAATCTGTTGGTTTCCTTCCCTTACAAACAGAAAGTAAAAGATCAAAGAGAAATTCAAACTGATAGCAATGACCAGCAGTTGGCATCGTGTCCAGTGCAGATTCTCAGTGATAATCAAAAATACACAGAGAATTATGTATGTTTTCATGCATAGAATCCTTTCAGAACCTCTTGTTTTTGTTTCTGTCACTAACCTCATTTATATATCAAACCAATGTGTGAGCAGTGAGAAACCAAAGGTGGCCCACATGGTCACGTCACAACATCCACAGAAGAACAGAAATAGTCTGACCTTGTAAGAGCATGTGAACATTATCAATGTCCAGGGGAATAACTCCATCGTCTTCCTCTGATCCTGAAGCCATGCTGTTGCCGGCTGCAACTTCAAGAAGGTCCTGAATAAAGTGGCTTGTTAATCATTAATCTAAGGATAAAACATAGAGCAGGAAAATCATAACAGAACAGTATAAAGGAATGAGTTGGTCTGCTGCTTGATTGGTCATGTCAGGAACACACCTAAGCTCACATACGCCCTCATTTCACCGCAGACACACTCTACAAGCACACACATGCAAACACTGAACTAATAGTTTCTAAAAGCCACTTCTCTTCTTCCATAATACTGGTGAACAAAAATAGATGACCTGATCGCACGTCTTCAACATACCTGAAGCTGAGTAGAAGTCGCTGCAGACAGTTGAATCCATTTGAGTGTGAATACTGTTCAGTAGCTTTCCTCAGCTGTTGTCCCCTTGGCTCGGCTTTGATCCGCATTCATAAATGCCTTCAAACAGGACGTGGCCTTTAGGTGCTCATAACTGAACAAGGTGCCTCCTGCCCATTGGAGCATGATGGCAGAAAAGAGCAGAAAGTCCCACCTTTTTTGCTGTGAGTCCAAATGACTTCATAGGCAAAAGAATACTTCATAACCTTTGGGCTAAAAAAAGTCACACACTGGCAAATCAAAGGATAATTTGTATCTAAAAACAGATCCAGCTTTGTGGGCTTTTTTACTTAGAAAATAAGGAAACTGCTAAGGACCTTTGGTTTATGGCATATTTATCAGAAGGTGTTTCCCATCTCTTTTATATGATAAGGCAAATCCGGTGTCAAGTTTTTCTAACAGGTTTCTCATTAAAACAGAGGATATAAAAAAAGTTTATTTCCTTTTGCAGAAAAAAGAGGTTGCATAAAACTTGTGGGTTCTTATACAGTATCATCTTTACCCTCGGGAGCTGCGCAAGAGTTTTTTTTATTCTTTTACTAATGTGAGCAGGCAACTTCTATTATGGCAGTGGGAAAACAAGGGAAACTTAATACCAGAACAGCTTCTAATCCTGCTGATTTGCTTCATTTCAGTCCAAGGCATCAGATTACTGTGTGAGAGAAAGGACAGTTACTGCAGGTCAGTTTAACTGTGTTTAGAGCTTACTCTTTATAGATGTATGTCAGCAAATTAGATAATCATTGACAATATCATTTTTTTCTTTCCTGTCATCCAATTGTAAATGTGAAGCTAATATATGATAGATGGATAGATTCATTACAAATGTTTGCTTTAGTTGCTCTTTTTCTCTTTCTTTTGATAAGTATGCCTAAAGGTTAAAGAATGCCCAATATACAGTTTCACAAAAAAAAAACAAATAGAGTTTTGCATACACCAATGAAAAGGGACTGAATACAGTAATGCTCTGGCAATGCTATGGCCTAAACAAAGACATGTGACTTGACAGTTGTCCACCAGATAGTCACTGGGACACTCCAAATAATGGGGTGGACAAGATCCTTTATAAAGAAACTGTCTGTTTAGGGGTCTGTATTTAGATATATTGAAGGAAAGTTGAGTTGAAGGAAAAAGTAGGGTAGAAAAGGACTCATTAACAGCAGTCCTAGTGTTAGCCTTAACAGGAATGTAAAGCAAAATATATTCATGAGTTTGGAAAGATTCATAAGGGGTGGGCTTTAGTCAGGGCAAGACAGTGTCTTCAGCAAGATTCTTCAGCCAGCGATAATCTGCAGGGCCAACGTCAGACTAAGACTTAGAATTAAACATGCTTTATTGTCCTTCTGTACACACAATGTTGTATACAAAACGAAATTTTGTTCAGTACAGCTCTCAAGACATTTCCATTTATTAAAGCGCACCAGTGATCAAATGTAAACACAGCTGCTAATGTTGGTGCGCAGAGTTTTATCAAGTCCAAAGTCAGCACAGCCATCTTCCAAAAAAAAGTGAGCACTTTGCACTTCCCTCCGCTGAAAACATTTGTATAGCTCCCAGAAGCACTTGTAACCTGCTATGCTTGACTTGCCAGCAAAAAGGCTTGATCTAGGCTAAACCTATACTGAACTGTTACTGACAGTAAATAGACATCCAACAATGCAGAAAAACTGATGGCAGCTAGAAAAGCAACCTGGGTTTCATTTAAACTTGACAGTAGCTCAGACTGATTACCTTCATTTCATGCAACACTGATGCAATAATTCAAACAAGGGAGTACGTTTCATTAAACTGACATTTCTGTCTAATATATTGATTTTTGTATTTACTGAAGGGTTGAATTTTCAATATATTTTATTGTATTTATTTGCAAACATTTTAATCTATATTGCTTTTACTGCTTAAATTATATTGTTGACATACATTTACTTTGCAATATATTCTTAGTTATTTAGATGCTGTATAACATGTTTTACGACATTATTCACTGTGACAGGTTTAAGCTGCAATCATTTATCATTATAACAACTTTTAAGAGGTCTGGGATAAATGGCCAAAAACAAGCAACTAAATCCTGGTTTTAATAATGATCCACATGGGGGAGCCAACTTACTAACCTACTGTCACTTAACCTGTTTCACCAACTGATTTAAAGTTCAGTCCAACAGTACCACTGCCACTGAAGCAAAAGTAGATCTGACACTATTAGAAAAGAAAAACAAGGATAGGGGGTGTATCTTGAATTCTCATACAATACAGGCATATATTAATAGTTACTACAGTTTCATCCAGATATATACAGATGCATTAAAGAGTTTAGTTAACAAGATAGGTGTATCTTTTATTGTCCCAGAGTTTCATATTATAATAGGACAGAGAACCAGTGATAATATCTCAGTATACACAGCAGAAATGCTAGCAATTCTGTTTGCAGAACAATGGGTAGAGGAAATAAGACCACTGAGAGCGATTATTTGCTCAGATTCATCATCACTAATCAGTTTACAGAGAAGTCACTCAGATAGTAGAGCAGATATTTTGATTGAAATCCAGCAAACATTGCACAAAATTTCAATGATGGGCATAACAGTCATATTTCTATGGGTACCAGCACACAGGGGAGTTAAAGGAAATGAAATGCAGATAAGGCTGCAAAGGATTCTACAAAAAGAGAAGCCATCGATCTGTCAGTTAAAATTAGTAAGATGAAAACAAAGGGCATCATTAAACGGAAACTGAAGGAAAGGTGGCAAAATGGGAAGAAGAGAGGAAAGGACTATGGTTTTATATGATTCAGAGCAAAGTGGGAGAAATTAGATGTGCTGGAAGAAACAGAAGAGAAGAAACAATTATATCAAGATTTGGATTTGGGAACACAGGATTAAACGGTACTTTATTTAAAATAGGTAAATATAACACCGGTATGTGTGAATACTGCGAGCAACAGGAAACAGTCGAACATGTTATGGTACACTGTAAGAAGTATGAAAGAAAAAGGAGGGAATTGGTTCAAAATCTTAAAAAAAAAAGACAGAATACACTTTAATTTAATAAAAATCCTTAGTAAGAACCCAAGAGATAAGTGTTATGTTTTTGTTTTCCATTATCTTAGATTAATCAATGTAATGGAGAGGATTTTAATCTTATTTTGGTTTTGTTGATTTTGTTTTGTCCAGTATAAGTAGGAAGTAGCCATTCAGATTCACACTCCATGCCAGTTGGTGGCGGTAATGCACCATTTCGTTGCGCGCCAACCGCCAATAAAAGGAGAAGAGGAACCGGTTTCACCATTCGAGGGCGCTACTCGCCAAAAGTAGCCACAGGACGACATATTTCAGAGGAGAAGAAGACTTCCTCCCTACGACTTTGACGTGAAGCCTTAGCGGCCGTCTTGACCTTTCAGCTACATCGAGACAAACTGAAATGTGAGTAAATTTTGGCATTTACCTTTTTTAAAGGTTATGCAGACCCTTGAATACGTTATGATCAAGACATTTGAACAAGTTTAGTCTTAATTCGTTCAACCTAAACGAATAAATCACTCTGTTCCATGTTTGAATAGGTTGTTCTTTCAGCTACATGTAGCTTAGCTTAATGCTAAAGCTGAAGTACAACAGTGATTGCATAGCAGTTTATTTATTAGCGGATCTATTTTTTCGAATACAATTGTGAATGGTTGGTCTAATTTTTGCCTATCTGTTCCTCCGTTTTAATTTGACTGACTTCAATTAATTTAACCACGACCACGTTGAAGTTAAAGAAACTGACAGTAGCATTTTTGTAGCTTTACAATTAGCAGAAACAAACAGGTTGGAACCTAAACGCCTAGTGCTTTTTGCCCCAGAGTATCATGGGAGGAAAGTAGGAAAGAGAAGTAACTAAATATTTCAAGCTGAGTTAGTAGTCATTCAATATTTGCTCATCGTTGGATTTAGTTTAGCTTTAAACTGGACAAGATTGCAAGTGTTTTTTCAACAACAAGAAAAAAATATAACAAAAAGAACAATAAAATTGTTATACTGAGATTTATGATTGCCTAACTGATTAAACTCCATTGCTTTTTGTCACAGATGGCTGGACAAGCCTTTGCAAAATGGTGGTCCGCCGTGGGCCCTTATTACACTAAGGTGTACCAGGAGATGTGGGTTGGAGTTGGCATCATGACATACCTCTATTATAAAGTTTCCTACGGGGGTGAGTAGAACCACAGATCTTGACCTTGATCTAGACATTTGGTGTTTGGTGGAATGTGATGAAGGGCTGGCTATTTAATGGGAAACACCTTTTTTTTTCTTTTTTTACATTGGCCCTTGATTTTACATTAATAAATCATGTTCTACTCACCCATATTAGTGTTGTGTCATTTGGAGCTGTTCCGAAGATATTCGGTTTTGTTATATCCATGTAACGTCTTCCTATGGGCAACGAGTTGAAGGCACAAACTAAACTGTTCATAATTTGCTCCTTATTGTACGCCAGCATTCATAACATGTAGGTGAATCACTGTCCCCCAGACATCCGCAGTTATATTTTTTATATTCATATATTTTTTAAAACAAAGTGGAGTGTGTATGACGTCATTCGTGCGCCAGACTGGAGTTGTGACAGGCAGCTCTACCCCTTCTATTCATTCTGCGAGCTAATCTGAATCGTTCAATT